ACGAGGCATTTAGAGTCTTCCGGAGTGTGTCTTCCGGAGTGTGTCTGTGTGTGTGCGTGCGCGTGCGTGGGTGTGTGTGTATGTGTGTGTGTGTGAGGAGTGTGTGTGTGTGTGTGAGGAGTGTGTGTGTGTGTGTGTGTGTGTGCGTGTGTGTGTGGGAGGAGAGGGGGAGGAGGAGGAGGGGCGGGAGGAGGTGAGGTGAAGAGGAGGAGGAGGAGGTGAGGCGGGACAGCCCCAAAAAGTAAGAACCCCACAGCATGATGTGGGGAATAACAAGATATAACAAGATATAACAAGATATAATAAGATATAATAAGATATACAAAGATATGATAAGATATAGTAAGGCATAATGAGACCCTACTATTTAGGGTCCCAATTTAGGGTCCCTGTTTTCGGAAACCCCCAGGTGGCCTCTCTGGTAACCTCCTTTTCACGGTCGCCGCACAAGCCGAAGGCAGCGGGGGTGGGCCCAAAAAGGATTCTGTAAGAGCACGCTTTTCAGGAGGGTCTTAGTTTAAGGGTCCCTTCTTTAGGGTCCTTACGATAGGGATCCGATTATTTGGATGAAGATTGAGCTCAAGGAGCTCTGCATGCCTCCCGAAGCCCAAAGCCCCAAAGACAGGGCTCAAGGCCCAAAACCCTAAATCCCTAAACCATAAACCCTAAACCTTAAACCCTAAACCCTAAACCGTGGCACTGCGCGACGGCGCCATCTGCCCCAGGCATTTCTGATCGGCTTCTGTCCGACCGTGGCAGCCAATCTGAACAACTTTGATGCAGCAGAGCTCACGAAGGTCGTCGTTGCTTATTCCGAGTGGCCCGGTGAGGTTTCTACCGACCCTGGGCAGCATGAACTCAGGTCACCTAGCCCCCTTGCAGAATCCACCGCCGATGGTTTTTTGAGTTTGTCCAGACAATGTGCCAGGATTTGTGTTCGGACCGACAATCCACGAACTCTGCTTGACGTTGAGCCTAGACCGAACGAAGAGCCCAGATACCCTGAAGTGTAAGCTCCCTACAGCTCATAGTCCCGCACCTTGGCATATGCAGCGCTCCCAGCAGCATTGCTCGCAGCACCGAGCAGAAGTTGTTGTTAACCTGGCAGCGGGAAAGAGGCTCGAAGCGAGCCTACGCTGACCCTAAACACCAAGCTCCCCACCCAACTCTAAAACCCGAGACCCAGCTCTTAGTACCTAAACCCCAAAATACTTCTTGGAGGTTCATGGGTAGTTATAAGGGGAGTTGTACATCACTATCATGGCTTGTAGTTATAGCTACCCTACTTATAACCCCCTTATAACTACCCATGAACCTCCAGGACTTCATGGAGCAAGTCATGGAGGTGCTGTGCTTCGGTAGCTCAGCCATGACGATGAAGGCCATCCGGGGTTTTTTCCAGGGATCCAGCAGCCTTTGTAGATGATGCGGCTTGTAGAAGTTTACTGTGAGAGACTATAAGGAAACTATAAAGATACTATAAGGTTACTGTAAGATACTTCAAGGGTACTATAAGATACCAGGTGGTTACGATAAGATACTGCAAGGATGCTGTAGGGGTACCGCTATAAGGTCTGTGTTGCAAGGCACAAGGTAGAGCAAGTGCTTGACGGGCAATTTGGATTTATGTTTCTGACATCGGCGACGTAGACTGTAGGAGTACTCTGATGCTGTCCTTGAGGACGATGCTGGCAATGTGGGAGACGGGTTCAGTCTACTGCTTAGACCTGTTGTGCACCACACTTCCGAAAGCAGGCGAACCTTGGACCTATGTTCTTGTTCGTCTAGGATCCCTAAACCAGCGTGTGAACCCAGAACGATCTTGAAGCAGATGTTATATACTTATCCCTCAGCATAACCATCGACCTCACCTGTTATTGTAGTGACTATTCTTACGGTTCTGATCCTGCGACTGTTGCGGTAATCTTCGCATGGCGATCATTTTCACCCTAAACCCTAAGCTGTAAATATTCACCTTCTGAGTGTTGTCTTCTCGCGAATTTCGAGGATATGTCGGCGTCGAATCTGGTGGCCGCTCTGCGGGCACTGGCGCTTTGGAGGAGCTTCAGAAAGGTTTTGCGGGACTTCCATCCTTGTGCTTCTTTACTCTTTGCTTGGGCCTTTGATACCCCTAAACCCTAAACCCTAAACCCTAAGGCGCCCGAAAGCGTCAACCTCATACCTCGAAGCGGAAGCTTGGAACCCGCAACCCAGATTCCAAACTCGGGCCCAGCTTTCAGTCGGTTTAGGGTTTAGGGTCGAGGGTTTAGGGTTTAGGGTTTGGTCGCCAACCCCAAGATTTCAGTCGCCCAACAAACTCCCACACCGGGGAGGAGTCGGTCAAAGTCTGCACGTGAGCGGCGGGCTGACGGCCCTTTGCCTCGCAAGGGCGGGGGGTTCAGGGTTTGCCTAAACCCCTAAACCCCAAAACCCCTAAACCCTAAACCCCCAAATCCCTAAGTCCTAAACCCCTAAATCCTAAGCCCCTACTGCCTGAAAGATTTCGGGCTAGGGCAGAAGGAATGTCGAGCCTGGGCCACCGGCAGTTTAGCAATCAGGGTCCACTTGGAGGTTCGTTACATTGCTTATACCACCACTAATGCCTACCCATGAACCTTCAAGCAGGGTCTCGGGTCCAGAAAGCCATCACATGCTAGGCTAAGTCATGCATGAGGTGTTACCGTATAGCGGTTTGGGGTCCAGGGTTTAGGCTGTAGGGTTTGGGGTTGAGGCTGTAAGGTTTACATCAAGACCCAAACTAGATTTTCATGGAGCTCTTGTATGCTCTTGTAAAGCCCTTAGAGAATCCTAAACAAGAACATGTATGGAACTCGTCAAAAGGTTCTTACAGAATTCTGATAGAATGCTTGCAGAGGTGATAGCAAAAACCCGAAGGCCCTAACCTAAGCCCTATACCCCAAGCACGAAAACTCTAAACCCGAAGCCCTAGGGCCATATTACCCTCAAGCCCTAAACCAAACCCCTAAACCATAACCCTAAACCCTAACCCTAAAAACCCTAAACCCTAAAACCAAATTTGGAAACCACACCCTTACACCCTAAACCCTAAAACCTAAACCCTAAACCCTAAACCTTAAACCCTTAACCCTTAACCCTTTAACCCTAAACCCTAAACCCTGAACCCTGAAACCCTGAAGCCTGAACCCTGAAACCCTCAACCCTAAACTCCCCCAAGGAGAGCCGCTCTTTGCTTCGACCTTCTGCTTGGCAGCTGCGCCGATTCGGTGCTTCGGCTTCGAGTTCCCAGAGACTCCAAAACCCTTAATGATTCCTGTAAGGCTTCCGGTTAAGGTTTAGGGTTTAGGGTTTAGGGTTTAGGGTTTAGGGTTTAGGGTTTTGGCTTCCTTGAAGAATTCCTTAAAGGGATCTTTCAGGGGAATCAAGGAAGATAGCGTATTTATGATAGGAACCGGAACCCTAATACGATGGAATATACTTTAGACTATGATGGGAACCTTAATATGACGCAAGGTAAATTCCTTAAGCAGGGAATGCATACCTTAAACTCTGATAGGAACCCGATTATGATTTAAGGTAAATCCCTTTCTTAAGGGTTTTTTGGAATCTCTGGGTTAAAGAAGATCCTTCAGGGGTGTCTATAGGGATTCCTAGTAGGGCTCTGTAAGGTTCGAGTTTACGGGTTATGGCTTCAAGTTTTCCGGAGAAACGATTCAGGGATGAGGGCGGGTTGAGGGAGAGTTCTAAACGATGGAAATCCTTGAGCCTGGAGCTTGCTGAGTCTTTTCAGTGCAGAGGGTTCTGTGCTTTTACTCCGTTCGCCCGAGTGAGTCGTGAATCGCACTTCCGAAGCCCCAAGAACCCAGCATCACACCCTGTCCATGGCGGAATGGAGTTTGAGGCAGAACCAGTGGCCGTCCTTCAGAAAAGCAGTGCTACTACGGTTCTTGAAAGGAGAGACAGAAACTTTTCGTGCGATGGGGTGTCCGAGTGAGCATCAATTCTGCAGACGTAGAGGGCTCGTTATCCGAGGGGTCTCAGCCTCACACACACACATGCGTGCGAGATGCTCCATGTCTGTGTCGCAAGTGTTGAATGCACAGGGTAATTGAATCTTCGATTGCGCTTGTTCTTTGTTTTGAAACGCACAGGAAACCCGATATCCGTCCTGGGATGTTGTGGGAATTGAGCTGAACATGCGAGTTTGTTCCAAACTTTGAGTTTGCAGGAAGTCGTATTTTCTTCATCGTGCCAGGAAGGATATCACTGTTTTGTTTCCTGTCCAGCCTCGTAGACAGAGCGCAATCATAGCGTGTCCAGAATCCTAAGGACGATTGTACAGGACAATGGCGGCGATGATGATGATGATGATGAGGAGGAGGAGGATGATGATGAGGATGTTGGCGACGAGGATGACGGCGATGACATGACGGAGGTGGTGATGACCACGGTACTCTTCATTCATGGTGGTGGCCGACGATTGCTGACATGTTTGGTCTGGCTGTGCTTCCCCCTAAACCCTAAACCTTAAACCCTAATCCCGAAACCCTAAACCCTGTTCCCAAATCCCAAAGCCCTAACCCCTAAACCCTACACCCCTAGCCCGTATGGTGTCCCCAATCCGCTGCATTAATAGGAGTCCGAAGATGCAGGCGAGCGGCCATGGGAGTTCCAGAGCCTAAAACCCTGTCCTGCAAGACCGCGCGGCGCACAAGTACTGTTGAAGGTGTAGGGTTTTAGGGTTTAGGGCTGAGGGTTTAAGGTCTATTCGTCCCTTTGCCTTAAACCATAAATCCTAGTCCCTTTGTCCTAAACCATTAAATCCTAAACCCTAAACCCTCAATCCTAAATCTTGAACCCTAAAGCCGGGTTCGGACGGAAGAGCCTTATAAAACTGACAAGTCCAACGTCCTTGCTTACCTTCCCCGGGTTGCATTGTTCTTTGTAGTTACAGCAAGACTTGAAGGTTCATGGGTAGTTCTTAGTGGGGTTATAAGCAGAGTAACAAGAATTTTAACCCATTTTAGGGGACTTATAGCCCTACTGATAGCTGCCCATGAACCTCCAAGTAGTCCCAATCACCGCACCTTCTGAATCTAAGCCCCAAGCTCTAACCCTAAACCCTAAGCCTAAAACTCCTAAACCCTAAACCCTAAGCCTAAAACTCCTAAACCCTAAACCCTAAGCCTAAAACTCCTAAACCCTAAACCCTAAGCCTAACCCCAAGTGTAACACCCTGGTCCCCTAAACTTTAACCTTCCGCGCCAAAAGCCGCAAGAACTTGACCCCGAGCAGTTCTTTCAGGTCCGCCTGCAGCGACTTAACCGCGGAGGAGATGGCCCAGGCTCTTCTGAGACAGGTTTCGGGTGTGGGGTTTAGGGTTTAGGGTTTAGGGGTTTAGGGGTTTAGGGTTTGGGGTTTAGGATTTAAGTTTCAGGGGTTTAGGATTTGGGGTTCAGGGTTCAGGGGCCTTACTAGTTCGAAGAGAGATTCATAGAGCTTTAGTGGGGCAGCTCTGATAGGGGGCTTTATTAGTGGAACGTGCTTTTTTGGTATAGGCCTTTCATTCTTAGGTGCTGTACGGTAGCACATGCGAAACTTTCTTTTTTGGTTTTGAAGGGGCACTTAGCTTGTTCTTTTCACAGTCTTTTCCGGTGCGGGATTTGGGATTGACTGGCAAGTGCATTCTGATTCATGATGTCGGGTGTTTGTTTCTTGGTGTGTAGATCCAGGGTAGGTGTTGGGGGCCTGTTGTTCTAGATGTCTGGGATGTTTCGGGGCAGTTCAATCCTTCGCCCTTCTGTGTTTGAGTGATTTGCAGGCTGTCTTATCTTGTGTTTGGCTGTAGGGCGTGTGGTCCTGTTCTGCTCGCGTTGGTATATAGAGCATCTGGGGTGCATCAAGCGTCTGGATTCTAACCTACGTCATAGAACACATGGGCATGAATCAAGAACAGCTAGTTAAGGCCTGCGCCCTCATGTAAACAACGACGACCGCCACTGCCAGCGGCGCGGCACCGGCACCGGCATCGCCATCGCCATCGCCACCACCTCCACCGAGACGAAGTGCAACAATCCTCGGCACGAGCATCACCACTTCCACTTGGGTCCTCCCCCCGCCTACTCGCAGTGCCAAAAACTCGTCTGCCTGCTACTGCAGAGCTCCAGGAAGTCAATATTAACCTGTGCCACGTTTTAAACTTTAAAATTACTACTTGCATTGACAATAAAGCACGCATTGCCAAACACAGGCACAACCTCGAGCAGCGGCAAGTCAAGGATGATTAGCTGAAGCAACGGTTGCAAATTGAAGCACGAAGCCGGGACTACCAAAGGACGCGCAACTTCGAGCACCAAAAGTCATAATGGAAGCACCATGAAATTTAACCTTGCAAGCTCTTTGAGCAAAAACAGCACCAGAAAAGTAGTGCGAAACTCATGTTCGAACACCAACAAAACAAAGTATAAATACATCATGCAACCGCTGAGGGATTTCCTCGTGCTTCTTTTCGTGCTGACGGTTGACGTAGCTGTTAGTCCAGCAGGGCCATCGGGGCCCACCCAAATTTCCACCAACAACCACGTCGACCACAACGGAGAGACTAAAACATACTGCGAGTGCGCTACAGTTTGAGGAAGCGCCTGGGTGACAGCACCAACCTCGTCAACGGAAAAACTATCGCCCACAGCATCAGCAGCAAGGTCGTCATGACCCCCACTCCACGTCCAAAACGTCGTGGATGAGTGAAGATTTGTGTAGTGCTCATGGTGTCGTGCCTGAGATTAGTTCCACGCACGCCCGAGCGTGAGCCCTCGGCTCCTGAGTATTCATGCACTACGAAACCATCTAAGCCGTATGTGTGGTACTGTATCATACCATGGTGGCCTCAATCAAACAGGATCTTGGATTCTGTATCATACCATGTCGACTGATAAACAAAGCACATGTTTTCTGACCACCCTGATAGTAAGACTACTGTTATCCCTAAAGTCACGCGGCCCAGGATGTTAAGCCTAAAGCGCACAAAGCTCGCGCAGGCTATGTGGGCGTTCGCCAAGACCCGGTACATGCCCACGAAACTCTTTCTGGATCTCCACGACGGGGTGCTGAGGTCTGGAATATCGTTTCGAATTTCGTGGTCTAGGGTTTTCGTTTTTCGGATTCAGGGCTTTCAACGCAGTGTTTGTGGTAGTCTAAGCAGAATCTGCTGCTTGTTGGCTCAGTGGTCCTGTCGCTACAGCCTTGGCAAGGTCTTTCAAAGCACTGTCGCTCGGGAGTTTGGCCTCGTGCCTGCTGAACTCTGGTCGGGCACTTTCTGGGCAACTGCGTTTCTGGGACGACTCTGAACCTGTTGTTGTGTCCGATGGCATTGTCCGAATGCCAAAACTGGTGAGAGCTCCCTTTGCGGACCGCCGGCTGCTGACCGACGCGGAGACCCTTGTAGTGTGACTCGGCTCTATGACACAATGCAAAATAACATAGTATACTGTAATACACTGTAACATAGTGTTATACAGTAAAATACAATGTAACATCATGCAACATAACATAATAGTAATATACTGCACTACAATGCAGTATAAATTTGGTGCTATACACTTTGCCAGTAAGTAGTATGATGTAATATATAACGATGTATAGTGACATAAAACGTAATACAATGAAATCTGAGCCGTTTTGATGTATTGCAATATAATAGTAATATGTGCTGTAGTATAGCATTGTACCGGTGGAAGAGCCTCAACCCCGATCGCCTGGGCCCATGCACGGGGGCCTACATGATCTGGTTCTGCTCATAACCGTCCCAACATGTCGACGATTGACGAGCTCGTGTGGAAGCCATGTCCGCTATACACATGCTCTACTACTGCGGCTGCTGCTGCGACTACGACGACCACCAAGGCCACAGCTGCTGCAAATGCTAATGGTGCTACTGCCACTGTCACTGCCTGCTGCTGCTGCTGCTCCTTCTGTTGAGACTTCTCGTTCTATTGCTGCTAGTGCTACTGCCACAACGACGATTGCAGTAGTCAAGATTGCTACTGCTACTCCTATCATGACCAGAAGCGTACCAGCGATCAGTATCAGCACCACTAGCAGCAGCACAATCTCTGCCATCATCCTGACCACTACCACCAGCACCATCTCTGCCAGCATCCTCATCACGATCATGACCGCCACCATCGGCAGCCTCACAGCTAAGATCATCACGGCCAGCGTCAATACCATACTATTTTGAATTACACTACGATATATCTACACTATATCTAGTATTTTCTGATACTATACTATATTGTAGTTTGTTGTACTATATTGTTTTATATAGTACTACAGTTTCATACTATATTATATTAGTGGAGTCTCACTGAGGAGACGTCTCGGTGGTCTGATTCCACGGGACCTGGTCTCTGCAGCCTGGCTAGGGATGGGCGCTTGAGGTTTTAAGCTCAGGAGCACTAGTGATGCTAGCGATGATGATAAGGTTGATGATGAGGTTGATAACGACGATGATGGTGATGAGGAGTCGGGAGGATGATGATGGCTACCATGTTGATGATGCGATAATGCTGAAGACAGTGGCCCATCGCGAACTTGATAGTTGTGATCGCGATGGTTGTGGAATCAGAAATGCGACTATGCCGGGGGAGCTGCTACTGCTTCTGCACTTGCAGCGGCTCCTCCTCTCCCCCCCGCTTTCTCTGCCGCCTATGATTCCTTCGTTTTAGCATTCTTGAGGATTGAGGGCTGTAGGGATCAAGAACTGCACAGCGTCTGCGGTTTCTAGCACGAAACCCTCCCGTGAAGGAGACATCATGAGGTTGCAGAGTGCTCATGTGTCTGCAGGATAGTAACGACATGGAACCCGCAGATTTAGCAATCGTATTCCCTTATAATCCCTGTATAGTTCTTCTTAAAAAGCTCCCATAGCCCTCCCTCAAAAACCTCCTTACAGCCCTGTTGGTCCCTTATAGAACTCTGCGGCCTAAACCCCCAAAAACAAGACTCTATTGGGCCATTATAAACCTTATGGTCTTTATGGGGGGCTCGATTCTAGAACCCTATAGCCTCTAAAGTGGACAAGATTATAGAACCTTATAGCCTGTAAAGGAACCCTATTCCAAACCCCAAATCCGACACGGAACCCCATCCGAGGTCCCTTTGAGGAAACCCTTAAACAGCACTTAAAGGAACTCCACTTGGAGGTTCATGGGTAGTTAGAAGTGGGGTTATAAGTAGGGTAACTATAGTTATAACCCATGTTAGGGGACTTATAACCCTACTTATAACTACCCATGAACCCCCAAGTAGTCCAGTCTCTCTGGGGAGGTCGTGCTCGCTTACAGCCTGGCGCATGTGGGATCGCCAGAGCTCTACTCTGTGCTTCAGAGGGCCTGTTCCTGGGCATGTACGGTTAGGGTTTAGGATTTAGGGAGGTTTAGGATTTAGGGTTTGAAATTTAAAGAGGTTTAGGGTTTGGGGTTTAGGGAAGTTTAGGGTTTAGGGTTTAGGGAGGTTTAGGGTTGAGGGTTTAGGGAGGTTTAGGGTTTGGGGTTTAGGGAGGTTTAGGGTTTGGGGTTTAGGGAGGTTCAGGGTTTGGGGTTTAGGGAGGTTTAGGGTTTAGGGTTTAGGGAGGTTTAGGGTTTGGGGTTTAGGGAGGTTTAGGGTTTCGGGTTTAGGGAGGTTTAGGGTTTGGGGTTTAGGGAGGTTTCGGGTTTGGGGTTTAGGGAGGTTTAGGGTTTGGGGTTTAGGGAGGTTTAGGGTTTAGGATTTAG